TATATAGCTCGTCCAATTACTGTTCGTGTATACAAGTTGACAAAAAGATAAAGCGACTTCAGACTAGCGATTGTTGGTCTTCACCCCATTTCTTAAAACTAACAATCGTTCTTGCATGCGGCTTCTTGCATCTAACTGTTAACTTTTATTTCATCTCGATTAATTTAACGTAATTTCTTTACATTCTATTTGTATTCTACCTCATTCCTTGCCGTTGCTATTTATTATTGTTCTGATGTGTATCGTGGCAACTGGATCCATCACAATTCGGTGCGCGGATCAGTTATTCGACAAAACCATCATGTTTCTAGCGAGAATCATCAGACTAACGTTTGCGTTTTTCCATAACCCATCGTAATCTTCCTGCTGCAGGATCTCAGTGATTATCTAGTCATTTCGGGCTATACTTCGCACTCTCAGGATACGAAATTTTACTCCAAGACTGGCAGAGCCCGCTCGCTGCATTGATCCTTGTTAGGGATCAGTTAGAATTCGTTCAAAGTCCAGCTACATGAGCAGCTCTATTAGCGCTTGTGAAAAAACTGAAATGACAAACCATAAAGCAAATGTTTGCTGCGCTTTTGCTAATCTTCATGAGCTGTCTAGCCGACATGACATCACTCTGACCCTGAAGGGTAATGTTCACAATACGTCTGTGTGTTCAACCCTATTGCACAGTTGCGAGACATCTATCTTGGATGTAGTTCGTCCTAGTTCCCTCTCAGTCACGCAGGTTCCCACACGTCCAGAAATGCGCCAGACAGCTGTTTCGACCTTCTGGGTATCGTCAGTGGTGCGCGTCCCTCGGTTTCCTACCATGTTCCGATCCCATGACTTCCGTATGCCAGCTACTTGTGACTGAGAGGGGACTGCGGTATATTGTATTTAATATTGCACTAAAATCCCCGCTGCTCATCAGGCACCTATCTGACTGAATAACATGAAGAGGATAGTTGCGTTTGCTCACCTGTGCCTTCGCAGTTTATGTCATATCTCGCAGGAACGCCACGCAAATAAGGAGCATTTTCGACACCTTGTTTATGGCGCAAGGAAGGAAATTAATCACTCGGCATTGCTAATTCATGCACCAGGCTCTGGTGGTTTCGTCATGTGTTACGAATGCGCGATGTGGATGTGGAAGGGGAGGTTAAGTATAACCAACTGACAACTTGATCTTTAGGATTGAAAGTCCTCAATTCGACCACCTCGATTGGCACATTCCGACTTCCTGGTTGGGGTTCCAACGCTAATGACCGCGTTTGGTTGGATACAGTTATTGTGATGACGATGCTTCGATCTCAGCGAAATTTTCATGACAAATTCCTCAGTCCGCCCCCTCCCGCTTAGCCACTCCTAGTTTTTGTTTTGTTACTGCTTTTGCTGCCATTTAGTTGGTTCGTATTGCGTCACGACAGCTATGATGCTTCTTACTTTTACCTGACATGTATAGTGAATGATGGTGATACTGTCAACTTTAGCTCTAGCTCTTGAAGTCAAACCCGTCTTCTTCACAGGTCTGTTAAAACAGGGTGGCGCCAAGCCCTTCACTTTGAGGCATGTTTTCTCACATTCAACCTACGAGCTAGTTACATGACCGTGCCGAGATGTCGCGGAACTGGTTTCCTTTTCTCTGTAGTTGTTCCTCTTTTCACGGTCAAATCATCGAGACAGTCACTGCACATACCAGCAAATCCCGCGTGCTTTTACAACCTCCCAATCATACATGGGCGCCAGGTTTAAGGCTGTTCGGTTAGTGTGATGTGTGTGACCTTGCTGTGCCGTCGGTGTTGTCGTACACCCCTGGGGTATGGTCACTGCGCTCTCGTGAGGTTAAGCGACTACTTATCTTTGCAACCGGTATCCAAATAGCATTGCTCGCATCTGACAACACCATGCACTACTGATATCCCCTATTTGATGTTTGGTCCTATACCATGTGATGCCACGCTAACTCATCTTTCGCTTATAGTGCTGACCACATTGACCAGGTTACGCCCTTCATATCACGATCAGCTACCTGCACCATAGCATCACATACGGATAGATGGATCATATCTTGAATCAGCCAGACGGTTACATAAAGAGGATGGTTTAATGGATTAGCCAAGTGACTTGCTTCTTGGTTCTAATTATGACCTTGCTACTAGTCATGTCAGTGTGTGGAGACTTCATCCCCACATATTACGATCACTTCGAGATTTTTGCCCTTACCTTCCGTCCGTTTCCTTTGGTTATTAGTGCGACACCTTGACTATACTTCACTGCTGACCTCTTTCACATTGTTTTTGTCTGCATAATCACTTGTTTGCTCTGTATTCTTTCCTTTTTACTCCTTATACTCATGGAGACCAAGCTCGCTTCAATTCGGCGATGGGCTCCTATGTAGACAACCACACACTGCAGCATCAGCCATTTCCATCGCGACTAAGCTGGATCTTAACCCTGATTGTTTACCTAAGTGTTTAGGTCGTATTTTACCGATACACCAATGAAAAGTACTATTGTATTGCTGAAACTCACTGTGATATGTTTCTGGCTCATACCTATACAGTGAAGCGCCCGGCGATGGCCGAGCGGTTCACGCACCCGGCTTGTAGTCCAAAAGTTTGAGCCTGCATTGGTTCGAACTACCTGGAATAACTCTAATCCACACTCGACGACTGCTAATTGCAACATGTCAGCGAAGCGTTGCAGTATGGCGTGCCTAACGCTGCTTGATCCCATCGAACGCCGCTTGATCCCATCTGATTCCAGACACAGTGAAGAACGCCAATGCCTTGGTCGAGAGTTGCGCAGGAGTCTGCAAATGGACCGCGAAGCTTGATGGTGTGAACGTGCTAGGGAGATGGAGCTTGCTAGTCTCTCTGGTAATACCAGAAAGCTTTTCCATCTCATTCGAGTCACCGAAGGTGTTCGCTCTGGTATAAGTGAAACACTATGCGAAGAGGATGGCACCTTAATCACCAATCTTCGACGACGGTTGGAGCGATGAGCCGAACATTTCGGCTCGCAGTTTTGTCGGCCCCCAGCTCCACCTGCTACCTCTGGCGCTCGCACGGGCCGAGTGGTCTACCCCCACATATCCTCCCTCTTCCCAGGAAATCGAGCAGGAGCTCCGGCACCTGAAGCGTTATAAACCCCTCGGCCCTGATGGTCTTCCTCCGGCTCTATTTATAGATGGTGGCACATCGCTGGTTCGAGAACTCACCGCTTTGTTCTCGAAAATTTGGTCGTAAGAGAAAGTTCCGTCATCTTGGGGTGAATCGATAGTCTTCCCCATCTTCAAAAAGGGCCTGCGCACAATCTGCTTCAACTACAGAGAAATATGATTAGTCCCCGTCGTTTGCAAGCTGCTGGTGTCCATCATACTTCGCAGACTATCCCCAACACGCGGATCGTTGCAACGAGAAGAACAAGCTGGGTTTCGTCCTGGTCGCGGCTGCATCGATCAAATCTTCACAGTCCGTCAGATCCTCCAGCTCCGCCATGTGTATCAGAGGCCAACGATTGCTGTGTTCCTGGATATCCGTGCAGCCTTCGATTCTGTTGATCGTACAGTACTGTGGCACTGCCTACTGAGGAATGGTGTCCCCGAGAAGTTCGACTCCATACTGCGCGCTCTATATAGTCTGACCTCGAGCAGGGTTAGGGCTTATGGCAAGCTTTCGCCTTCCTTTGTGCTCTCCAGTGGAGTTCGACAAGGATGCCCTATCTCTCCGTTCCTATTCAACTTTGTTATTGAGGATGTCTTGAAGAACGCTCTGAACGATTCGTTGAACGCTGGCGTTGAGCTCCTCCCAGGTAGTCGATTTGTTGATTTGGATTATGCTGATGATATCGTCTTGCTGGGTGACGACCCACAGGTCGTCCAACTTGCATTAAACCGCTTGGCGATTGAAGCATCAAAGTGCGGTATGTACTTTTCGCCATTCAAATGCAAGGCTTTCTTCTAAGACTGGCAGGTGCCTCCGGCTGCACTCACACTTGCTGATGCGACACTAGAGGTTGTGGAGAGCTTTGTCTACTTGGGAAGTTGCATCACTGCCGACGGGGCTGTTGGAGACGAGATTTCGATGCGCATCTTGAGAGCAGGCCTCGCTTTTTTCTAGGCTGAAGCACTTGTGGCGTCGCCACGACATTCGTCTCTCCATCAAAGGGCGGGTCTATTGTGCAACTGTTCGTGATGTACTGTTGTGCGGATGCGAGACCTGGCCCATTCGTAAAGATGACTTGCGCAGGCTATCCGTCTTCGAGCACCGCTGTCTGCTGTCCATTGCCCGTGTGTGGTGGCAGCACCACGTAAGCGTGTCTTGGGACGTGGAAGCCATTCGCTCGAGGAGCTCGTCTCACTGCATCAACTGCGGTGGTTGGGACACGTATTGCGCATACCTGTCCAGCCTTACCCGCGTCGTGTGTTGTTTACGGTTGCTGGACAGGGCTGGAAGAGACGGGCTGGTGGACAGCCTACAACATGGAGAAGCCGCATGAAAAAGCTGACGAAACAGTTGGCCTCAGCCGGTTGTTGTCGACTACCTGGTTGGGGTCCGAGAGATGCGGATACTTGCTGGTTGGAAACCTTGGAAGCCATGGCTCAAGATCGATGTCAATGGCGGACGTGTGCATCCGTGTGTTGCGGTGTCCCTATTTCCTCCTCATGAAGAACAAACTGAAATGTTTTCGAAATCTGAGTGGTAAAATGGACAAAAAAGCCTTTGTTGTTAATCTTTTCTTATTATTCATATTGTTTTCCTATTCAGCCATGATTCCGATGGCACAATATCTGTACCACAGATTGTGTAATACATATATATATATATGTATATATATATATATATATATATATATATATATATATATATATATATATATATATATATATATATATATATATATATATATATATATATATATATATATATACGGCGTGCTGATGTATTACTGATTCCTGTCTTTTTGATGCTACGAACAGTCATAGTCGAACTCACCTTTCCTCTCCTCAGGCTATGTTAGGAGCAACCATGTTCTTCTGTGGTCTGCTTACTTATCAGCTGACCATCACTTTCGCGGCAACAAAAAGAGATTACTATGAAGTCCTTAACGTGCCAAAATCTGCAAGCAGTCAAGAGATAAGAAAAGCCTACAAGAAACTTACGCTGCTGTGGCACCCAGACAAAAACAAATCTCCAGACGCCCCTCAAAAGTTTCAGGAAATCCGAGAAGGTTAGTTGGTGCTATTTTGTTGCCTGCCTATTTATCTAAATCTTGCGAGATTGACTTTGTCTGACTTGCATGCACAGCGACTGGTGGTCCCATTTTCATAGTTGTGTACCTCGCGAGTTTCGAATGATTCCCGTTTGAAGTAGGCTCATTTTTCATCCAAGCTTGTACATCCTTGGCGGGACCTTGAACTCGGCCGTTGCCTTTTCATTGAACATCATTTTTACTTCATTTACTGTCATATATTAGTTTCGTAGAAATATTTTGACAACCATTTTGTCTAAGCTACTTCCAAGATCACCAAGACCGTCTAACTCTACATATTTTGAATACTGTGTTGAAGCGCACCTTGAGCGATTTGTTACTTTTGGCCACGAACGCTTGGGTCAGTTGAAACCAGTCCTGAAGAAATGCCTTTGCAAAACTTTGCTCTGACGGCTGGGAAAACCGAGGATTCTGCTTACCAGTTTGCGCTCAGTGCACAAGTATGCGGGTCCTTTTACTTGAGTAGCACCATATGGTGCAATATTGCACCTTTTTCTTTATCCATTATAACATTTTGCACTTTTAAAGACGTCATTTGACTTCACCCACAGTTGTCACTGTAAAGTGCTGAAGATGTATCCGGGTACATAAAGTTTATCTTGACTTGACTGGACTTGAAACCCTCGACAATGTATGTCAATGGGAGCATCAGTGCGGACAGCGCAACCACGCTGAAACCCTAACTATAGTTGTACAGTTGAGACCGTTGCTTTTACAGAGCACCCAACCCAAACACTTATATTTATTGGCAATCACAGGCAGATTTGGGGTGCCAAGTGATGATCACCGGCTTCAAGGAACGATTTGGAAGCCTCTGCTGAAAGTGCTTGGCCAGACACCTTTTTACCTAGACGATTTCCTTTTGTCAACGTTTACTGGCTGCGATGAGGTTTAAAACAGTTAGTTCCCTTCAATAGTTTGAACAACGAAATGAGAAGACGAATATTAGCAGATGCTAGCATTTCGTATTATCTCATCAGTACCGATACAATAACTGGGAAATCTTTCCATAAGTCTCATAAGACAAAGTTCAGCCAATCCAATTTATGGTTGTGGTCATTTTTCTTGGTATTAGAGTCACGAAAACCGCAGGTTGACAACTAATTGTTTTTGGGCACCTAAGGCTGGTCTAATTCGGCTTATCGCGACGGCCTCGGCAAATCGCAAAAGCGTGAATTTGTATGACGCAACAAGATCCGAAACACTGTTAGGGGATTAATCCGGTGACGAGTCACCAAAATGTGCCAGCCTATGGAGGCCGCTGGCGGCTTACGCGAGCGCGTATCGTCGGAGGCGGATTGAGTAACTTCGCGCTGAAGTGCTCCTTCACTCTGGAATCCAAAGGCTGTTCGGTTCTGCCGATCTAACTGATTTCGCAGTCACACACGAATTGGTAAACAAAAGGTGATTTGGCGCTAACGCGTTCATCTCCCTTTAATGAAGGTAACGGCAACTTTCGGGTTCTGTTGATAATTACCGCCTCCGCAGCACAGCACGTACGCTGAATGGCCGAGACTATGCGTTTAGTTGCCCTTCTTGCTGCGGTGTCACCCTTAAATGCTAGCTCGATGTATACCTCTTTCTTTGGGGCTGTCAATACCATTTCTTCAGGCGGTCTAACCAGGCTATGTTTGTCTATGAATCACTTTGGGTAGCCATTCTCCATAAGCGTTTTAATGATTAACTCAAACTCCTCATCCTAGCAGCCATTGGAGCAGATACATCTGGCTCGAGTGAACAATGTTTTCACCAGCGCGCGCTTGTGTGCTATTGGTGAGAAGCTAGCGAAGTGTAGATATAGGCCGGACCATGTTGGCTTCCGGTATGCGGATCGCTTAATGAGCCTATTATCCTCTCGACACATGAGAATCTCAAGGTATGGTAGACGCTCATTTGATTCAAATTCAAAAGTCACCTTCAACTTGGCGTGAACACTATTAAGTTCGATTTACATCCTCGTGGAACCGAAAACCAAGATATCATCTACATATCGTTTGTAATACGGCACCTGAGAAATCTCTCCACTTAGTTTCCTCTCTAGCATCAGAATGAAAAAATCAGCCAGTACCGGGCCCACTCCATCAGTTTGGCGATATGAGGTGTGCTGGAATTCGAAAGCGACATTCTCCGTGCAAAGTAACAGGAACTGTCTCAGGAGGTCTGCCGGTATTGGTAGACGGAAATTCTCCCCTTTTATCAGGTGGTAAATGTAATCAACTGTCTCTAGCAAAGGGACATTTGTAAATAACGACTGGACGTCTACTGAGCACATAACCTTGTCGACTAGGCTGATTTGGTCTAGCTTTTCGATTATTTCAAAAGAGTCCCTTATGCTGTGCAAATTGAAGTGTTGCCTCAATGGCGCAAGGATCTTAACTAACCAGCGAGCCAATGTGTGCTACGTGGAATTTATCATCGACAACATGGGTCTTAGTGGCATGCCTTGCTTGTGAGTTTTTGGTAACCCGTACAGGTGTGGTGTCGATGAGCTGCTCGGCTTCAAGTTCCTGTAGGTGGTTTCGTCACTTTCACGATGTAGGGGAAGCGTTTGAAGGTGTCGTGTCATACGCGCCTTTACCTCTGTCAGGCTTTCTATCCGGTCGGTGCGTTGAAACCTGCTTTCGCCACTTAGAATTAGCGTTTTTTGTACCTAATCGCTCTTGCTCATGACAACTGCTCCGGAATCTTTGTCCGGCTTTAGCACAACCACTCCCTTATTCCTCAGCTGTCGTAGCACTTTTAACTGTGGTTGTTTATAGCTTCACAAATTTATTCCATCGCAATGAGGCTGGACCTTACCGTGGTGCGATGGTTTGTGTGCCTCAGGGATCCATTGAGCTATGTTGGGTGGTGCTTTTGTGCACCTTCGGAACCACTCACACCAGATTCGTCAATGGTTAGAGTTCAGACAAGCTCAGTCTCTTGGTCCTCCATCTTGGGGGTTGGAATGGGGATGGCTCCTTATTCCTTAAAACGGACTCCTTATAGTCTACTGCCAAACTTGCTGCCTTGCGGTCAGGTTGTGAACCCTAATCGTTCTCCTGTCTAGGCCTGGGCAACTTGACAGTATTTTACCCACGCAATACTATGAATCTTTAACAATTTCCTGATGCTCTGGTCATCACAGAGGATAATCAACGGTGCCCTGTCTGTTGCATCGAGCAGGGCGGATAGGGGTTTGAATGCTACTGTTCAAGTCTCCCCATCTTCTTATTCGTCATCTTACGCTTTTTCACTCTTATCGTCCCGTTCCAACTTCACTTTTATCCCTCCCGTTTTCAACCCCTAGTTCTTGGCCCTCCCCACCATGCTTTGATGGGCGTTTATCTTCTAGTTTCAGCTCACATACAAACGCCGAGCGTCACTGTTGCCCCATCGACAAGCCCATGTCTAACCAGGCGGTCAAGCTCAATTCATCGGCTTCTATTTGGAGCTCCCCATCCTCCCTCAGATTGGCATGCCTCAATGTACGCACATTGCTACAGATCGGTCAACAGACAACACTTGCCCAAACATTAGAGGCCTCGATCGATGTCTACTTCCTATCAAAACCCGCGTACAAGACCCAAGGTCTGTTCTCACTCTGCAACCCCCTTCAGGTGACACTAGCAGCACTTTGTCATTTCGCCCATCCGCAGACCATGTAGCTTCGAACACTGGCCAAGGCGGTGTTGATATTGCGTCGAGTTCCCGGGCGGAAGCGGCTCTATTTGTTTGGATCCCAATTAGTAATCGGATGTGTGCGGTCCGACTAGCTGGCTCGTTCAAAGCTTCGAAGTCGCGCGGGACTAATATTATCTATTCGTCAACGCTGCCTACGCGCCCGCAAACTCTAGCGATGATTCGATAAAAGACGACTTCTATCATCAACTGGACGAGCTCCTTAGCCACAGAAGAAGCTCGGACACTAGTGCTTGCTGGGGATCTGAACGCTCAACTTGGGAACTTTTCCACTGATGAGCTGCTTCTGGACGGTCAACATGATGTAGGCTCACCTACGGATAACGGTGAGCGGTTCCTTCATTTGTGTGAAGACGCTCGCTTATTTCTTGTGAGAACTAACTTCCGACACAGCACTCGTCGGAAGGTGACATGGCGCTCGCCAGCCATGGACACAAATCGATCACGTCGCGATCAGTTATCGCTGGAGAAGCTGCGTCCAAAACTGTCGCTCGATGCAGAGCCCATGTGTATCCACTGATCGTGCACTTGTATGTTCTGATCTGCGAGTGCGTTTTGACGGTCGCTCTCGGCTACGCTGTGAGCACATAGACACCAGCCAACTGGTGAAGCCAAGTGTTCTGAATGCGTATCGAAGTACGCTGGCATTCGGGTTGCGCAAACGCTCACTGAATACAACTGAAGGTCACTGGTCTCATGTTCACCAGACCTTACTAGAAGCAAGTAGATCATCATGCGGTAAATCCACTATCAGCCTTTAGAACTTATCGATGCTCGCCTGCACACTCCGGCTGAAAGCGAACACAACGAGACTCGCACACACCTTAGAGCAAAACTTCGTGCTAGCCTGAAGTGCGACTGCGAATCCTGGTGGTCTCACCGTGCGTCAAAGTGGCCGCTGCCCTTGGCAACCATCGTAAGTTATTCTGTCTGATGTGGGAAACGGGCAGCAGGAGACCTGTTGTTAATGGAACCATACGAAACTTGAGTGGACAGCCTATCCACAACTTGTCAATACGTTTGGATCGTTGGGCTGAGCAATTTCGAAAGCAATTTAATCGGCTGGAATTGTTCGATTTCTCACCGGCCATTGACCGCCCTGTTCTCTGGGTTGTCTCTTTGGATTCGCGCTCTCGCTCAGAAGTCCAACGTGAGATCGGACTGCCGGGTTTGAATAAAGCCACTGGACCAGATTATCTTCATATAACTCTTCAAATTGATGGCACTGATCTTGTTGATGATTTGCACAATTTGCTAGTGAAACTGTGGGCGAAGGA